CCCGCCCCCGCCACGGCTCCGCCCCCGCCGGGCGCCGGGTCCTAAAGGGGCGGGGACCCTGCCGGCGCAGCTGGACCCCGCCGCGTTCCGGCTGCTGCTCAGGGTGGAACTCGAGAACCTGTCTGACCCGCTTGCGCGTCAAGGCTCCCCGGCTCTGGGTCTGCACCCCTTGCTAGCAGCTTTGCCTCACGGGCACGGCCCGCTCGGCAGAGGCCCGGCGAGCCACTTCTCCCGACTGCGGGCCGGCAGCTAGGAGCTCGCCCTCCCGCACAGATCATGCGAATCGCGGGCAGCGGGAATGTACAACGCGTTTTATTAAACCAGAAGGCGCGGGGCGCGAGAGCGGGCCGTATGCCCCCCTTCACTCCGCGTAGGTAGCGTCATCGTTGCTGTCGCTGAAGACGGAGGACAGATTCTTCGGGGGTTTGCAGATCGGACACCGCAGCCGTATATTGAGCCAGCACGACTGGCAGTACATGGTCTCGCAGTCCGGGCACACGTAGGAGTCGGGCGTCTGGGCTGCTAGGCACACCGCGCAGTGCCGGCGCTTCCAGCGGCGCAGGAACGGGCAGAGGCGGGTCAGATGGGGGCGCTGTTGGGAGGATTTAGAGTGGGGAATGGAGGGTTCTGGGCAACTGTACAGCGCTTCTAGTCCTTCTAGTCCGGTTTATCCAGGCCTGACAATGTCACCTGTTTGGAGGAAGCTGGATTTGGCAGAGATGACCCCTGAAGGACAAGTGTACTACGGAGTGGGTTCTAGAGAGCCTCTGTTCCCCACTTCTGCAATGAAGAGTGGGAGGATGCAGCTGGACTCTGTCCCAGCCAGTAACAGCAACAACCATCATTTGCACTTTTCCATAAATCAGTCCTACTTTGTCCCCAAGATGAGGCTGAGAAGTGATTAGGGCAAATAAGACATCACTATTGTGTCCCCTACTTTACAGATGAGAAAGATGAAGCTCATAAAAGTTAAGTAACTTTCCCAAAAGCACACAGATCATAAACAAACCTGGCCAGATCTAGGAACAGTGATGCCAAATTACAAGCGTGGTTCCAGATGCTCACCTCCATACACACAACTGCCAGGAGTGTTTCTCCACAAGCCATTTTACCAGGTCACTCTGTTCAAGAAATTTCACCCCACTGCCTGCCCAAAGTCTGAACTCTTAGCGTTGGTCTCCAGGTCCTTCCTTAATCTGGTCCTTTTCTGGTCTTTGCTCTCACCCTTTCCCAAACAGTGCAACCTCTGTGCCAGTGTCTCCTTAAACTAGCCCTGATACTCGGCATTTATTCCCTTTGGGCTTTTGAGTCTTTGCACATCCTGTCCCTGCTGCTTGGAAAGAATACCCTTCACTTATCTATCCATCTTCCCATCAAATTTAGTTATTTCAGAACCAGACCTTAGGTATTTTGTATTTTCATCAGGCATTCACCCAGCCCCTATTGTGTTTCATGGGGGATGAAGAATCAAGCCATGGGAGGAAAAAGTTAAGCTCTCTTGTTTGTATGAGTTTAGTTAAAGTTGATTAAATGAGAATTGGATGTCACTCTCTATATATACGTATATATAAAACATTGGGCTATAGCCTAGGAAACTAAGTTAATTTACTCATTTTCTACACTAACCACATAAGGAAGGCATTGCTATTATCATCACCTCTTTCTCAAATGAGAAAATCAAAGCTTGCAGAGGTGATCGCTTGCCTAGGGTCACACAATAACTATCACATGTGGAGAACTTGCTGCGTGCCTGCCACAGAAAGTGAAACTCATTCAGTGGGAGTAGTTAATTCCACTTTACAGAAGGGAAAAATCAAGGCACAACATTTCAATAGTGCTCAAGATCACACACTTGTCAGAACAGTAAGGGGAGGAGCCAGGATTTAAACACTGGCCCTCTGGCTCCAGAGCCCCACACCAGTCCAGTCTAGGCCTTCCAGATCTTCTCCCATTAGTTGGAAGAGAAACTGGTCTGGTGATGGCCTTGGCTAAGGTCACATGGCTTAATGAGGTGGTGTGGACTGGAAGTTGGCCCTTCTGACTTCATGCTCTTTCCATGAAATACCTGCCCCTTCGCAAGGCCTTCTTGCCCCCCAGGATGCTGCCCGCTCCTCTGAACTGTACTGAGCTTTGGTCTGCAGCCCTCCAGCAGAAACTGTGGCTTTGCCTTGGGCCCCAAATTTCTGATGAACCCCTCTTGTTTTCCTTTGACCCAACTAGCAAATCTGCCAGCCTCTCCATGACCCACTAGGCTGGGCTGAATCTTGGGATACAGAGACGGTTGTGGCCCTAATCTCCAGATGTGGGACCACAGGTGGCCTTAGCATGCAGAACTCACTGAGCCCCTGTAAGCCTGGGGACCTTGGTGGATGCTGGTAGGCTGGAAGGAGATGCCCCCCCCCCCCAATACACACAGAGTTCTCAGACCCAGCAAGCACGGGCCTGGACTTACTGGAGCCTTCTGCTGTTGTGCGTGCTTTATGATGACAGCCACCCTCACTTGTATGAAAGCTGCTCTCTTCCTTAGTAGCTCATTGTAGAGGAACAGAATCCGCTTCTTTTCTCTCTGGGGCCAGGGAGAGGGGACCAGTGATAGGCAGTTCTCCCTAGAGATGGGGTTGGGGTAGGGAGTGGGGTGTGGATGGGTATGTGTATGCATGTATCAGGGGTGGGGAGGCCTTGGGAGGGGCACACCTTGGGGAAGTAGAAGGCTGCAATGACCCTCCGGAGCCGGTAGCCGAAAGCCTGTAACAGGCAGAGACACAGCAGCACGCCCATGGGTACAGCAACCCGTACGTAGGCCCTGGATTCCAGGCTCACAGGCTGGGGCAGGCAGGCTGGGGGCAGGGGCAGGCAGGTGAGAGCCTGGCCAGGACCCCAGGAGGGACCCTGCAGCCCTGGGTAGACCTCCCCCTCCCAGCCAGGTGACCCTGGTGTGCCTGCCTCTGGCCTGCAGAGCTGCGGCATCAGTACTGTGTCCCTAGGCCTGGCACTGAGACAGAAAGTTTCTGTTTTGACAGAAAGTTCTATTGGACAGCACCACTCCTGAGGGCTGGGACCTTCTGTTCCTGACTCTCCAGACTAGTGCTCCTGCTCCCCAAGCCTGACTGCTGTTCCTGCTCTGATCTTAAGCAGAGAGAACAAGCTGACTCTACACCCAAGGCCGGCCCCCCAAATCTTTGCTTGGGCAAGACCTTTGCCCCCAGCCTCAATTTCTCTAACCCAGATTTTCAGTTCTACTCACGTGCGTTCGTTGTTTCAATCACTGTGTCAGAGGAGGTGTTCAGGAGCCCTATAGTTTTCCGAAGAAGCCCAGAAAGCATGGAGTCTCCCCCGACCTTCACCTCCAATTTATGACTGCCTGAGGCCAGGATGGATATAGTGGGGTCAGGAAAGAGAGGGAGGAAAGGGAATGAGAGGAGAGAGGCTCTGGATGTGGGGGCGAGCCTCAGTCACAGAAATATTAATGAGCTTCTCTGGAGTGTTTGGGATTCACTGAACGCCACCCCCACTACTGGAGATGAAAAGGTGAGGGGAGGCTCCCTCCCCACCCCCCCTTGACAGCTGTCAGTTTGCAGGACTGAGATTAGACCCTGAAAGACTGGGAAGGGCTGACACGCAGTAGGAGGTAACAAAAGGGGAAGACTTGGTGTGGGAGTTCCTGCGGGTGGGGTCTACTAGATAAGGGGCCAGGGGCGGTGAGGGAGTGTGGGCTCACTTCGGAAGGAGTACTTCAGGAAGGTTTGCTGGCGCATGGTGTCAAAGATGGTGTAGAGCACCCAGTCCAGGCCACAGAGCAGCAACAGCAGCAGCAGGACAGGCAGTGCCTCCAAGAGCTCCGTGCCCTGCCAGGAACAGCAGGAGGGCCTGGAGCGCAGGGCAAGGTGGTGCCTCAGCACCTCTGCCCCCACCCTCGGATCCGTGCCTCTAGCGGGATTCCGGGGGCTGGCCACAGGGCGTCCTCACCATATTTCTCATTTCCAAGGCTTGGATAGCAGGTTTCAAGGGGAAGATGATGGTTTTCTCCTCGACTTTTCGAAGTGGCAGCAGGGTCTGTTTGCCCTGGGAAAACAGCCGCATGGGGAAGCCACCCCTCCCCCTCCCCCTCTCCCCTCCTGGAGCCCAAAGGCCCCTGGGCACAGCAGGCACTCAGGGCAGGGTTGTGCTCACACACCAGCCTTTTCCTGCGCTCATCAATCTGACGGAAGTAGGTGCTGATATAGATGTTGTCGAAGCGTATGTCCCTATTATAGCTGTCTATATAGGAGAAGGACCTGTGGACAGAACCGGGTCCGCTCAATCACACGCTTCCATGAGGTGTGCCATCAGCCAACCCAACTAGCAGTGGTGCTGAACTCCACTTATGTCCTAGGAGAGGGTCCCGCCCTGCCCTGCAGCAGCTCAGGGTCCTGTGAAAGACAGACCTGCAACAGATGACACCTGCCAGAGGTGCTGGAGGGAGGGTCTTGCAAGCACATGTGTGTGCAAATATTGGGCTGCAGTTAGCATGGCCAGAATAGTCTAGAAAACCCTGATGATTATAGGATGGATGGGGGCTGCAGGCCAGGGTAAGTCAGAGTGGGGTGTGTCTTGCGGGATACAGAGTAAGCAGAGGAAACAGCAGGGACAAAGCACAGAGACAAAAGCCTCTTAAGGCTGCAAGAGTCACCAGATCTGTTCTGACCCCCACATTTACCTCTCAGTCCCTGCCTCTCTGGTGAGCCCACAGAACATCTGGATGTCACCTCCAACAAAACCCATCCCCGGCTCCCCTTTCCCTTTCCCCTAACATACTCCGAGAGCACCAGTGTTTTCTGTGAATGCAGGTGCGCGCGCGTGTGTGAGCTGACCTAGCTCTCTGTGTATTTCCCTAAGTCCCACATAAAGCTTCAGTTTCCTGGGAGGAGATTTTAATTGTTGGAAATGTGTTTAAAACTGCAACATTACATCAAGTAAGCTCTGTAAACTGTGAAACTTAAGTTCCAATGCTGTTGGTTCAGGGACCCTGTAAAAATCCCGTCTTTGCCTCTGAGAAGGAACCACAAATAGGAAGGCCGCGAGCGCCCCCTTGTGGAGAGACCTACAGCTGCTGCGTCTGGTCTGAGCCTGGGCTCTGCCCTCTTGCCAGCTTAGCCCCTTCGGTGAGTGACCTCACCCAGGTTGAAAGCCCGGAAGTGGCTTTTGAATCTGTGCCTCTTTCCTTCCCTCCTCGGGCTGGCTCTGAGACCTGCTACCCTTTTACCCTTCCTCCATGGATCTCAGGCCAAGTTCCTGCCACGCCCCTCTCTGGCTTACCCTGGCCTGCAGCCCCCGTCCATCCTGTAATCATCAGGGCTTTCCAGACTGTTCTGGCCATGCTAAGTTCAGCCCAGTCCTCCACCCTACCCTCTGCCACCCACAGCCCACAGATGCTGGGGTACTCGTCCAAGAAAACACCCTCCTCCTTAACCACAGTTCCCCCATTCAGAGCTTCCAGCCCAGCTGTGGCTCTTCCAGGGGTGTCGCCCCAGCCCCCACACCTGTCCTGAGAGCCAGTCCTTAGTACAGCCCTGAACCACCTCTATTTTGTGGATGTCTGTCTTGCCTCCCTGACACTAAGAGCCTCCTAAGAACAAGAACATGATCTGTCCACCTCTGTTCTCCTGCAGGACCCTGGGGACACACATAGCCACTCACTTGCAGTCTTCCAGAACCCACAGATGCCCAGGGCGAGAGCCCCTGCAGCTGCCCTCACCCAACCCCTGCCCATCTCAGGCATGTGGGGTGGAGACAGGAAATGGAGGGTCCAGAGGTCAGCAGGGGGAACAGAGTGAGGCCGGGGGCAGCTCAGCTGGACGCCAGGCTGGGTGGGGTTAGGGACTTTGGTCCAAATGGAGGGAAAGTAGCTGCCAGCACAGCAGGCGGGAGAAAATGAAAGCAGAATTGGACGATAAAAATGGCACAAAGTCAGAGCCAAGGGGAATATGAAGGGCAAGAAAAAAAATCAAAAGTCAAAGCGAAAAGTAAAAAAGTCAACGTTGGGATAAAGGCTGGAAGAAGGTAGATGAATGAAGACAGTCGCCCTTTTAAGGTGCTGGGGACATGGGTAACATTTCTCCTGACAAAACGTCCCCATTTCCTGTACTTTGTGTAAGCAAGGAACTCACCGTGATAAAAAAGCAAAGTCATAGACACCAGAAGATTCATGTTCAGGTGTGGCGGGGCTGCTGTTCTGTCTCCTGGTGCCCCCCCCCCATGGCACCCGGGGCGGGGCTCCCCTCAGGGCAGCGGGGGCAGGGTTGGCTCACGCTTTCAGGACCAGCAGGAAGGTGAAGGAGAGCAGCCCGCGCAGCAGCATCAGGGACCACTCCAGCTGGGCCTCCTGGCGTCTGACGTAGTCACGCACCTCAGAGCCCAGGTTCTGCCAGTTCACGTTGGTGCCCACCAGCCCAGACTGCTTCTCTTCCTGGTGGGGGGCACAGTGTCCTGCTGCCATCCCACCTGACCAGCATCTCCAAGCAGGCGCCTCGCGGGGTCCGACTTTCAGGAACCCCCACACCCCAGGTACTGCTTGCCACAGCACCCTGCCCCTGTATCTCCAGACACCCTCTCACACCCAACTGTCCCTTGTGTCCCAGGAAAGACCCCGGTCCCTGCTCTCCTACCCCAAGCCCCTCCCCCATCGGCACCCAATGCCTTCCTCTCCTTGACCTTGCCCCCACACGCAGCCCCTTGGGGCCAGGCCCTCTCCCTTGCAGTCCTCATGCCCTGGTGCTGTGCCCTCTTTCCATATCTCCCTGCACCCTCGCTCCTGCCACCTACCTTGAGGTCAATATTGGCTGAAAATTCCCCATCCAGGCCACGAACCGACTTGTTGAGGGAGTCATAGGTCTGCCCAAAGTTGCCTTCTACTGGGAGGCGCTTGTTACACCAAATCCCCATCACTGTGGGCAGTGGGGCCAGGTCAGGGCCCCCCACAACCTCCTCCTGGCCTTCTCTTCCTTGATCTTCTTTATTCTGTTTTTTATGTCTCTGCCCATGACTTTCTAGCATGGAGGTTCTTCCCACAATGCATCTTCCTTAGCTGCTCTCTCCCAGAAACAGAGCCTGCTTCCCCCCACCCCCCCATAATTTCACATGTCTACAACCAGAGTAATAGTAATCAACACATGTATAGAGCAATTTCTAGTGCCAGTTCTGTTACCTGCTTTACAGGTATTATCTCCCCTAAATCCTCAAAAACTCCTAATGAGGTAAGAAAGCACTATCATTACGCCCAGTCATTGTGTCCACCCACACCGGAGCTTGCAGGGTCACAAACCAGAGGGTAGCACCTCCCACACTCCCTTCTCCTGGCTGCTTCCTGCCCCCATACGGTCTCCAAGGACTCAGCTCCCTAGCCTCAGTGCTCCCCACCCTCCTGCTGCTGTGCTGACCCCGGGCAATGCCACAGAGTTGCTTGAACTGCATGGGTAGGCAGAGCAGGTTGTTCAAGAACGGGACCGGGATGCGTTGCATGCACTGGCTATGCTTTTGGTCAAACCAATTTCGGCAGCAGTTGACGGCCTTCTCCACTATATCTGTGGGAAGGGGCAAAGGGTCTGAGCTCCCCACGCCCTGCCCTGGAGCACCCCCACCCCCACTCCCGCCCTGCCCTGACACCCCTCACAGGAGCAACGCAGCTTGGTTTTGAGCTCGAACATCTTCTGCGTGGAGAGGTATTTCAGAGGCTCTGTCCTGAGGCCTGCCTTCTCCAAGGCCCCAGTGTCGCTGGATGTGTAGCCGGTCTCACTCTTCACCTGGGTGTCCAGTTCCTCGAAGGTGTTGCTGATGTTCCCAGTCTCTTTTCTCAGTGATTCTTTGCTGCCCTGAAGGTAGACAGGACAAGGCAGGGGATAGAGTGGAGGGAGCATGGGGGCACACAAGTCGGGGATGGGGTTCCAGGGCACGTGAGGCCTGTCTGGCTCCCCCATTAGCTAAGCTCTGGGCTCCTTCCTCGGGCCTACAGGGATCCTGGTCTAATTCAGAGGCTTCGGGGAGTCTTTCCTCTTCTCAGCTGCCTCACCCACTGCCTCAACCTCTGCTCACTCACCTCCCTGGCTCCCAGCTCCCACTCAGGCCCCCACCCTCAGATGCTTGCTAACCAAAGGTTGCCCCAGTCTTGGACATCATGCCTCATACTGATCTCTCCCACCCACTCTGCCTTCTCCATGTCACTGAGCTATCAGTCCCTCTCTCCCCAGCTCACCAACACTCCAGTCCTCCCAACCTCTACTCTTCAGCCCTCTGATACCCAATTCCCTCATCCCCTGTCTCTAAACTCTTCCAGACTCCTCAAGACACAGGCCGCCAACCTCTGATTTTGGTGCTCAGATGGAGCCCATCCCATGCCGGAACAGGGCTCTCCTGACGTGTAGTGCCCGGGACCAGAACCACCCTGCAGAGGAGGCCAGTAGTGCTCCCATTGTGAAACTGAAAATCTAGGGTCCCAGCTCCCACACCAAGTCCATGGGAAAGGGAACCCTAGGCCATGTCTTGCAGGTCCTGACCAGAAGGTCCTTGAAGATTGCCTTCAAGGGGGACATGGAGACACGCCAGACATTGCGGGTATTGTTGATCTGCAGTTCCACGAAGCAGCCCAGAGACTCTACTACCTTGTTGAGGTTGTACTTCATGTTGCTCAGTGGTCCTGGGGGAAGAGGCCTCTGGTAGATCATCTCCCACTAATGCTATTCCCTTTCTGGAGCCCACCCCTAGCTGCTAATCTGCATGCAGCTCTAGAGGGCACAGTGATGGGACCCAGAAGCATGGGAGAGGTCATCTCATTCAACTCCTGAGTTTTTTCTTTTTAAAGGTTTTATTTATTTTCGTGTAGAAGAACTGGGGTGTAGGTCAGAGGTGCAGGAGTGAAAGGATTCTCCGGAGAAAAAGTGGGGGGCAGAACAGGCAGACGGACTGAAATACACTACTGAAGGGAACAGTGGGTGAGACAGGAGAGGTCTGCTGTGCCATGTGGGTCACCTCCCTGGCTGAGATCAAATTTAGGCCTCTGTGGAGGGCTGCTGGTGGAAGTGTTGAGACTTAACCCCTAGGCCACCGGGGAGGCCCTAAGCCTCTGATTTTTTTCATTTGTAAAAACTAAGGAGGCCCAGAGATGTGAAGGAATTCTTCTAGGGACATACAGAAAGATGGGGCAGCTGGGAATAGGCTCCCATCCTATACTGATTTATAAGTATGTATTTATTTTATTTCTTTATACATAAAAGAACTGGGGTGCAGACCAGAGGTACAGGGTTGGGTGGTGAGAGGATTCACCAGAGACAGAGTGGGGAGCAGAAACAGGAGAGGTCTGCTGCGCCATGTGGGTCAGCTCCCTGGCTGGGGATGGGGGATCAAACTCGTGGGGGGCTGTGGCTAACTTCATAGTGTTGCACTTTAACCCCTTGCACCACTCCCGCTGGATGACCTACCTACCTACCCAGGGTCATGGCCTCAGTACTCAGGGCACACTCACCCTTGTAGATGGCAGCCAAGGCGTAACCCAGCACAAAGAGCCTGCCTTCTTTGCCCAGCATCTTGGGCAGTAGCAGGAGACTGGCACAGCGGATGTGAGGTGAAGTCCCCCAGCCCACGGCTCCCAAGCCTATCAAGAGAGCCATGGGGTGGTGAGGCAGGGTGAGCCTCAGTTGTTTTTTTTTAAAGGTTTATTTATGTGTACAAAAAACTGGGGTACAGGTCAGAGTTGTGGGGGGCGAGATGATTCACCAGAGACAGAGTGGGGAGCAGAACAGGCAAATTGATGAAGTACACTGAGGGGAGCAGCAGGTGGGTCAGTAGAGGTCTGCTGCGCCATGTGGGTCACCTGCGGAGCAGGGCTCAAACTCGCACCAAAGTGGCCCCAGCCAGCTTCACCGTGCTGAGCTGTAATCCGGAGCACCACCAGGGAGGGCCCGAGCCTCAGTTTTACCAGAACACTTATCCGGTACAACTGTCTCCTAAAGCTACCACTATGCAGCCCTGGCCCCTCTATCCTGACTCTGAGAGGATTTCCAGGCTACTAATTCATTTGCTTGTTCGTTCAATAGCCATTTCTAGAGTTCATCCGCGTGCCAACGCTGCGCGCGGGCATGGAGAGCTGGACAGAAGCTCAGCAGTCGTGACTGGTGACCAATTGTGTGTGTGTACATGTGTGCACATTCGTGTTAGGGAAGGGGGCCAGTGTCCCCGCCTCCTGGGTGGATTCATGTAGACCTCACGCGCTGAGGAAACAGAGAGAACAAGAGAAAAATCCTGGAGCCAGGCAGTGGTGCTCCGCAGAGCCACCCCAACATTCCAGGGGCGCTGACACCTAGCGCACACCTGATTTTAGCCCTTAATTGTGTGTGCCTCTTGGTATGTTTTAGCAGTTTCACATGTGTCTCCCTGTGGTCTCTTCTTGGAGACAGTGAGCTCCTGGAAGCTCGTAATCAGGCGAAGAGACAGACGAATAAACAAATGACTACAGCCCAATGTGCCAAGTGCACCGGGGAGGCGCTCTGGAAGCACTGTGGGAGCCGAGCAGGGAGCGGGGGATTTCTGCAGGGAGGGGTGGGGCTGGGAAGGCTGGACAAAGGAGACGATGTGTCAGCTGGGACCGGAGGATGAGTAAGCAAGCGTTGTTAGGAGGTGCAGACAGCGTTCCAGGCCAGAGGGACAGCATAAGCTGGTCAGGGAACCTAGAAGATTCCTGTGTTGACAGAGCGTTTTTTTGCCAAAACAAACCCCAAGTGCTGACACTTCCTTCCAGCTCTACTGCCCTTGCAGAGGCTCCATCATCTCCCCTGGGACTAAGGAGTCTCCCACTTCCTCTCTTGTTAACCTAGTCTTCAGTGGTCACCAGGAAGCCAGAGCGATCTCGTGAAGGCCTCAGACAGAATACGTCCCTTCCCTGCTTCAGGCCAGCCAATCACTTGCCACCACAGTGGGGATAAGGGCCCAAACCCTGTGACGCTGGTCATGGCCCCTGCCTACCTGCTGACGTGACCTCGCGCAGTGCAGTCCTGCACCTACCAGGTCTGCCCACACAGTCTGTTGCTGTTCCTGGAACAAGCCAAGCTCATTCTCTTCTCAGGTCTTTGCCCTAGCTGCTCCCCCTGCCAGGAGCACCCCCCACCCCCACCTGGCTGGCGCCACCTCGTCATACAGGTTTGCTGCAAACCCTATCAGGTGCCACCCAACAGTTTGTTCTGCCTTCTCCCTTGCTAACGCAACTTGGGTTTTGTTCAAGTGTACTGGGCTGTCCCTGCCCAGGCCCCTGCGGGTAAATGTGGATCTGTATAATCCAGTCGTGGTGTAACAGGGCATTGAAAAGGGCTTGTTCTGTGGTCTTGACCTTGTGGCCAAAGACCCCAGCCGGGGATGACTGCAGACTAACAGTCACCCTACATTCCGAAGAATGACGCGGGGCTGCAGATACCGGCCTTGGGCTTACCAAAGAGCAAAACTAATCTCACCCCTCTACCACAATCAGTGCCTATAAAGACAAGAAATCGGAATTTCCTGAAAGTAGAGAAGCGGTTGGAGAGGGCAGATAGAGGAGGTGTGTTTGTAGAAAGGTTGGGAGTTTACTTGCCAAATGACAGCACCCTTTCAGAGACTGGGCCCGGGAGAAGAGGAACCTGCCATCCCACCCAGACTGGGCTTCCGCCCGGGCAGAACCTTGTAGGGCCATTCCACAGCGCCCACCAGAGCAGCAGGCCTCAAGCCACCATTGAGATTGAGGTTGTCCACACACATGGGCAGCCTGCTTAGGGAAGAAAGTGTGGGTGGCCTGCAGAAGTTCCTCAGCAGAAACTTAAGCACTATGAGGCACCACAGAGGCTCAAGGGGACTGCAAGTGGCCCCGAGACTAGCAGGCTGTGAGTGCCCACCACAGAGCAAGTGGCAGTCACATTAGAATGGTATCAGCGGCTTCACATTTTGGTCCCTTTTCCTCTAATTCTTCTAGTCCCCTTTCTAACATCAGAAGAACCAGAAGGGGAAGGAAGTGAAGAAAAAAAGGAAGGAGCAGGCCCCTCCCCCATCTCCACTGCCAGGGAGCTGGCCTGAGCTAGGGGCCTTCAGAGCTAAGGAGTCCTCTGCCCAGAATGGACTTGAGGTTGGAATTTTGATGTAGAGTGCGCTGGACCTTTCAAGTCCTGACAATAGTCCTAATTGCTAAAGCAGGATTAGGACAGCTAAATAATGATCAGAAAGTTAAGACTCTTCACTAAAGGTGTTAACCTGGAAGAACAGACTTGAATAGGGTGGTCAGAGAACAAGTAGCTTCCTGTTGGTTTCCCACAGAGGTTCATTCATTCAATGATCTGTGGCTGCAGCCAGTTCCATGGTCACCTGGGATAGGTCTGGGAGCTGAGCATGTGCTCTGGTGCTGCCAAGATGTGTGAGGGGAAGTTGGCTGGGCTAGAGGGAAGTTTTCCTTGTTCTTAAGAGACACGAGGAAGAAATGTTCTGGTCTTTTGACATTGCTATATGAAGATGTGATGCCAGGAATTGCTGCAGCCATTTCATGAAGAGCAGTGGTTGAAAGGCCAACAATGGCAGAGGGGGAAAAGACGAAAAAGAACCTGGGTCCTTGATGGGCCTACTGAGCTCTGGATTATCCAGACTCCACGCTACCTTGACACCTGCTGTTCCATAACAAACTTCCTCTATGGTTAAACTAATTTTGGTTCAGATTTCAGATTTTTGTTCTTTCAGCCCTGATACAAGGTCTTCATTCAAAAAGTCACTTTCTTTGAGAGGCCTCTCTGACAACTCAGAGCTAAGGCAGCTCCCCACTCCCTTTCCATCACAGCTTCTGGTTTAATTTTTTCACACCACCTGTCACTCTCAAAAATGCTATTTTTCTTGTGTTGTCTAATTCCACTAGAATGTAAACTCTAAAAGAGTGGGGAGATTGTTAGTCTTGGTCGTGCTCAATTAGTACTGAATGGACGAACAAATTTAATGTATCAGGAGGAGCAATAAACTAAAGCCAGACAGGACAGGAGAGAAGGGCTTGGATTTGAACTATGTCACACCAGAAATAGGGAAGCCTTCAAAGTGAGGAGGCCTCTTGAAGGCAAGGACTGTGGCTTCTTCCCAGGGCTGGGGTCTGTCTCCTTTCCATCTCTTCTCAGAGCTCAGGACAAGGCTGAGACCACGGGGATGCTTAGGGACAGAAGAAACCCACCCACACCTCGGGCATCCTGGGCGGGCCCAAGTTCCCCCGGCCTTAGCTAGCACCAACCTGCCAAGCCATACAACACCATTATCTTCTGTTCTTCATAGATGTCCATTGGGTTCACCAGGAACTGAAAGAGACCTAAGGGCACAGGGTTACCTCAAAGGTGCAAAGAGGGCCCCACCCTGGGCCTCTCCCCAACACTCACCTATAGCCAGAAGCCCTCCAATGCCTGCCCCCAGCAAGACAGCACTTATAGGAAACTGTCCTGGCTGGCGACATAGGAATTTTTTAACGGGGCTGGGCAGCACCCAGCTCAGGAACCTCTGTATAGCTGGGGATGGGGATGGAGGAGGTTAGTCCACAGGACCAACACCCCACTCTTCTGCCTGGAAAATGGTTTGTTAGGATTGGGGGGTGGGTAGGGGGTCAAGGTTGGATGTGGGCACTGAATAAGGGGAGGGAGGCGGGCGTCCCGAAAGCCAGGGGAGGGGAGGGCTCCTGAAGGGCCAGCTGATGAGAGGCTTGGGGCCTGTGGGGTGCTGTGAAGGGGCCATGTCTTTGGGGTGACTCACTGGTGTGGGGTAGCTTTTGCTCTTTTGCTCTCTTGTGGTGACGTCTAGTTTTCGTAGGTGTGGAGTCCTTTTTCATCCCAGCAGTCTCCTCAAAGATGTCCTTGGATGTGAGGTTCTACTTCTCCTCACCCACAGCCTGCTTGAGTCTGTGTCTTAATCCCTCTGCGCTGAGGTATGAGGAAGAGGTGAGTGACTCCCCGACCCTTCCCTCCTCTTTGGAACTAAGCACGGGATTCCAGGATGTGTCCAATAAAAGCCTCCCAGAATCTTAGAATATGGTGAGGAATTCCAAGACCCGTTAAGAGTCACTGATCACTTAGAGACAGTAATCATTTGGTCCTAGCAGCCATGCCCAAGGCTGGGAAGGCCACAGCCACGCCCAAGGCTACAAAGGCTGCCTTGAAGGCAGGAGACCTGAGTAGGGCTCGGGTTGTGGTCCGCAGCACTGTGGCCTTTATCATAGGCATGTCGCTGGCCACAGTCTATGGACTCTTGATGCTGCTGGTGGGAAAGCACAGCCCCTGGGCCTGCATGGTGGTCACCCTCACTTTGGCCATCTTCCTTAGCTTGGGCATGGCGTTCTCTCACCAAGTCCGGGTCACCGTCTTCCTGCTGCTGCCCCAGGCCTTCTCCTGTAAGCCTGGCACCCAATGGGAGGGGGCAGGGCCCAGAGGTGGGGGCAGGTTGAAGGAAATAGTCTAAAGGCTCCAGGCAAGGACTTGCTTGGGCCAGGCTGCCAGATGTGTGGCGAGGGGCCTGGTTTGATGCAGCTGTCTCTCTCAGCTCAGGGCCGGACTTTGCTCTTGGTGGCTTCCTTTGGACTGGTGCTGCAAGGCCCTTGTGCCAATACCCTACGCAACTTCACTCGGGCCAGTGAGGCTGTGGCCTGTGGGACAGAGCTGGCCTTGAACCAGACGGCTGAAATGCTGGAGCGGGCCAAGCAGCCCCTCATCGGTAAGGCCATCGTGATTCCTCGTCCTTCATTTTTCACAGTCCTCTGGCTTTCTCTCTCTCTCTGCTAGTAGTGCTGGGCCTTAACCTCAAAGCACCTAGCTAGTAGCTAGGCAACTTCATAACCTTGCTTTCTGGCCCATTTCACAACAGATGTACCCCCAGATCCAAGCCTCCAGGCTTGCCCCACCCCCCCACGGCAGCCCTTCCTCCACTCTTTACCCAGAGGCACTGGCCCCTAGAGTCTGGGGCCCCACAGTGCCCCTGCCTCCCACCTCTCAGGTGCCCTGAACAAAATTAAAGCCATTGTCCAGAAGACCAAGGAGGTGGCTGACCGGGTCCGCAAGTTCTTTCGGTCAATCATGGATGGTGTGAAGCATATAGGTCAGCACATTATTGTATCTGGTTTGTCTCTTTTCTTTTTTGGGGGAAGGGGTGAGGGGAGTGGCTCAAAATTTACCCAGTCTCTTCACCCTCACCCTTGTCCAGGACTTTGGGGGCAGCTCCCTGGTGCTGACTAGTTCCGCTGATAGAACCCAGCACGCCCTGAAAGCCTCTCCAGCTCTGGGTTCTGTCTTGTGTTCCCCAAGCCCCCAAGGAGGTGTTGCAGGCCCCCAGCCTGGGGACTGGCCCAGAGCCAGCCGCCCCGGGTGCCAGCCCTGTGTGTCTCCAGCCAGGGCTCTGCAGAACGTCTGGCACTGGCTCGTGCACATCGGTGACGTGTGCAACTCTGAGCTGGGGAACCCCTACACTAAGTGTGCACGCGTCTTTGACAATGCCAAGGACAACTGTATCACTGTCATCCCCCTTATCTACCACCTGTGCTATATCCTCGTGCCCTTCAAGTTGATCCTCTGCGGACTTGCCAGCGGTGAGAGAGCCAGGGGCTCACGGGCGGGACCAGAGCCGGAACAAATGTCGTGGACCATGAGGGAGGGGGCCCGAAGGACCTGTGGAGGCAGTAACTAGGGGACAGTAAGGCTACTGGGCACAGTACAGGGCAGGAAGTGAGGGAGAGGTCAATGTGAGGGGTGAGTAGTACAGGGAAATTTTTTTTTTTAAAGATTTATCTATTTGTGCATACACTGGGGTACAGGCCAGAGGCTCAGGGGCGGCGAGAGGCTTCACCAGAGACAGAGCCGGGAGCAGAATAGGCAGATCGACGAAGTACACTGCTGAGGGGAGCAGCGGGCGGGTCAGGAGAGGTCTGCCGCGCCATGTGGTCACCTCCGGGGCAGGCGGGGATCGAACTCATGAGGAAGCGGCTTTAGATTCTCAGTGCTGTGCTTTAACCCGCTGCGCCACCAGGGAGGGCCAGTACAGGGAAATTTTTATAAACCAACGCGGAGGCCTGTAGGGAAGGTGAAAAGTCAGAAGAGGCCTGTGAGGACAGGCAGCCTCTCACCCCCGCTGACACGTGGTCTCCGGTTCGCAGTGATCCAGCTGTTCTGTATCATCCCCAAGTACATTCAACCCTTCTTGAAAAAGACCATCGGAACCCGTGAGTGGTCCCTAATCCTGCTGTGTGATGCCCCATCCGTGGAGCGCTCCCAGCTCACGGAGTGTTCCCCAACCATGGAGTGTTCCCTGTCCAAGGACAGGAGTCAAGAGCGGCAAAGGACCCCCAAGGTTACCCTCGGGCACATTGGTTCAGCCAGTGTCTGTGCTGCACGGATGAGGAAACCGAAGCCCAGAGAAGCAGGGGCCTTGGAGGAGAGGGAGAGAGCCAGGCCTCTGCCCCGCTGGGATCGGTGCTAAAGAGGCTTAAGGCTGCACTTAGCTTGCAGGCTGTGGACGCTTCATGCCCTCCTTAGGGTCCCACAGATGGCAGCGTGAGGGGTCCCTGACGGCTCTACGGGCTATGCCAGCCTCCTCCCCTGAGTGCAGTTCTGTCCCTTTTATTTTTGCTTCCATCTCCGTGGACCTGCTGCCCCAGCTCTGAGGAACATAGTTGATCGGGTGCGTCGAGAGTTCGAGTTCAACGTGACAGCCAACCACCACTTCTTTGTGGATCTCAATGCCTCTCGGAGCCTGTCCCAGGTAGCGCAGGACCTCAGCGAGGCCATCAGCATGAAGCTGCACGGCGTCCGGGATGTCATGTCTATGATGGGCTACACCACATCGCTACTGCTCGCGTTTCTCTACCTCCAGTGAGCGCCTGGGGTGGGGGATAGGATGGGGGCTCCCCCAAGGGCAGCCCATCCCCAGGAACCCTGGGAAGCTATCGTCTTGAATGGTGGAAGGTGGGAGGGTGTTGCCTTGTGGGTCTGGTCCAGGTCCTCAGAGGCCTCATTCTGCTCTACCAGAGCCCTGCTTTACCGGTATCGTTACCTGACCAAGGATCACTTTGACAACATCTACATTACCAGCCGGTTCATGCGCATGGAGGCGGTGCGCTCCAAGGCAGGACTGACCACCGTGATGCCACTCAGTGCCCACGAGGCCACGCAATACATCCAGACAGGTGGGGGCCCAGGGGACTGCAGGTAAGGACATTAGGGAGGCCAGGGCTTTCCCTGAGCCCCCTGCACAGGCAAGGCCAGAGGGAGGAGGGTCCGGACAGCTGCTGTGCTCAACCCCCACCCTTCCCCAGGGGCTCTCCTGGCTTCTGCAAGAGCAGGTGAGATCCAGCTGGATCAGAGGCAGGAACCCCCGGCTTCTGGGGGGTGAGGTCTCCAGGAATTGGGTACCGGTGGGTGGGACAACTGGGAAGCATCTTCCTGACCATCCCTCCCCCACCCAGGCTCCATCTTCTTGTCCCAGCGGGAACAAGTTTTTTACATTCTGGCGACCTTTGACCTGATCCGGCACTTCTTCCTCGCGCTGCTTCTGGTCTTCTTGGACTACTCCGTCTTCTGGGTGCTGGATCTGGCCCGGCACCAGCTGCAGGGGGAGATCGTGGCCCGCAGTGAGCCCATAGTACCCTCCCCCCAACCATGTCTCCCACCCTAAACCCTGAGTGCTGGTCTGAGTGTCCCAAGGGGCTGTCACTCACGAGGCCCTGACTTTTGCCCCTATTCCATCTCTAGCCTCTGCTTAGTCACCCTCTGTCCAGGATGATAGCTCAGCAGAGTAGGCCAACACACAAACTCTGAGTTCAAGTTCCGGCTCTGCCCATCACCAGCTGGTGACCTTGAGCAAGTGGCTTAACTTCGAAGGGCTTTAGTTTCCTCATCTGAACAATGGGATAATAGTTGTAAACACCTCTCCCAGTTATGCTAGAGTGAGACCAGGGGTGTTGGATGTGTGCTAGGTCGTTAATTGAGAGCATTGCAAGAACCGTGGAATAGCACTCATTGAATCTTGTGCATCACGGGTCCAACAGAAAAAGCAACAAAAATACCCTGACAATCAACTATGCGCTCAGTCCAATGCCTGCTGCATTTACATTGTTTAGTAAATGCTGTTAATACAGGCTGTTGGGCAGTTATGGAGGCAAGAGGTGGACGCCCCTGACATTAAGGTCACCTCAGATCTGGTGGCTTGGGCAGGCTGGCCAAGGCACCAGTGCCAGGCAGCTGGACCTGGTGCCAGGGCTGAGGTTAGGTCCCAGGGCATCCTGAGGGGGCTGGGCCTGCCCCTCCCCCCTCCCAGCAGCACTGCTCCACCAACCCCCTCTGGAAGGTGAGGGCTTTTCTACACAGTAGAGTGGGCACTGCCATGCGTGTCCCTCACAGCGTGTCTTGGTGCCAGGCCCTGTGTTAGTTTCCATCAACGTGGAAGGTGTCGGCTACACTGGGAGGATTTACCGGGATCTGGTTTCCGCGTTTGACGTCCTGCAGCAAGGCAACATCAGCGTCTTGTCACAGCGCTGTGCCCTGCGTCCCTCAGAGCCTGACAGCAAGGTTTACCTCTCCATTGGTATCGGCCGCACCCTGAGGGCACGGAGGGGGCACAGACCACTCTGTGCCAGGGGCAGGCTGCTGGGGATGGCAGTGGCTCACTGAACCTGCTGTGCCCCAGGAGTCATGTATGGCCTGTGCTTCTTTGTCACCTTGTTTGGCAACTACGTCAGTCGGCTTCGTCGGGTCATCTGCGCCTCTTACTACCCGTCCAGGGAGCAGGTGAGGCCCCCCAGAGCCATCCTAGAGTGCTAAGCTCTAGGAAGTCCAGGGGTCTTAAGAATCTTTCAGCAGTCCAAATCTCTCCCCTCTGGCTGAACCCCAAATCTAGCTGCTTAAATAATAGGCCTCTGGGCCCCAGATGGGGCCGAGAGAAACGGGGCCTCTTATGGGCAGTCTTCCTGGGACAGAGCCTGCCTCCAGGTTTGCTAAAGCCTCCAGGGGAAGGGAGCCATGTGGGTCTGTCAACTGCTGAAGTGTAGATAGCAACTGGCTCTTTGCTTGTTTATGAACCCTTTATTGAGCATTCACTATAAGCCAGTCCCCATGCGGGCCTCCAGGCATGCCCAGGTGAAGCAGACTGTCTGCAGCTTACAGTTTTGGGATGAGAAAGGCCTTTAACAAGACATTACAAGGCCATTAACAAGTGTTTTTATTATGGAGTGAATCAACATGGTGGGGGAGGAACCAGAAGGCTCCCAGGGGAAGGACAGGAGTCGAGTCTGGGCTTCATGAGCTGCACAGAAAGAGACTTGAGGATGAAGGATGGAGGCAGAGTTGAAACAGGACCAAGGGGGAACCCCGCCCCTGCTCTGCCTTCTACAGGAGAGGGTCACCTACCTCTACAATGAACTTCTGAGCCGCAGAAGCAACCTGTCGTCTGCCTTGCACCGATCAGTACTGCGGCGGGCAGCTGACCAGGGCCATGAGAGTGTCCTCCTGGTGCTGGCCAAGTGGTGAGCCCACTCTCCTCCCTTATAGGTGGGAGGGTGAGAAGAACAGAAAAAGAGCCAGTGGTCAGCAGATCACTGTTCTCTTTAAGCGTCAGTAGGGGCCCTCCCTGGTGGCGCAACGGGTTAGGACACAGCACTGCAAATGAGCAGCCTCCTCAGTGCGAGTTCGATCCCTGCCCGCCCGGAGCTGACCCACATGGCACAGCAGACCTCTCCTGACCCACCTCCTGCTCCCTCAGTAGAGCACTTCCTCGATCTATCTGCCTGCTCTGCTCCCCACTCTGGTGAATCCTCTCACTGCCCCTGCACCTCTGGCTGTACCCCAGTTCTGTATGCACAAATAAATAAATCTTTAAAATAAAAATAAAATAAAATGTCAGTAGATTGGGTTGAGGTAGGTGCCCATTCCGCGCCTTTTATGCACTGAGAAGGGAGAGTTAGGGGTGGGGATTTCTGGGGGTGGGGAGTGAAGCGAGGGGGAGGACAGGTGGCTGCTTCAGTGAGAGGGATGGAGGTCAGACTTCAGGAAGGACTAACTGACAGCTGGAGGTCAGTGCTGAGGCGGGAAAGGCCAGTGGGGCTGGGCTGCTGAGCCTGGGACCTACCTCCCCAGGTGCCCCTGTCTGGCTCCCTTTATTAAGAAGTCTTGGCGGCACCAGATCTTATGCTTGGGCTGTGGACAGCCTCAGGATGAGGGGGACATGGAGAAATTTGTGTCCTGCAGTACTCCAGGCTGCAAAGGTAAGATTCCTGGGGAGGAAGCCTCTCTCTGCTGGAACTCAGCACACTTGCCTATGACAACCCATGTGGTACCCTTTTTGTGGGCTTGTCCTGTACCTCACCTCTGCACCCTTCCCTTCATTCCTATGCAACCCTCATTTCCATAGAACCCTCAGGAAGCTCTCTTTCTCCCCCCCCCCCACAAAGGAATTGATATGCAGGTGGCATTGCCTCAGTCCCTAGAGCACTGTTTGACAAGGTTACCCCCCCAGCCCCCAGTGGGGTCAGGGAGGCGAGGGCTGGAAGCCAGGAACACAGTAGGGAGTGGGTGCGCCTAACTTCACCTCCTTCCCTCCTGGCCTCCTCCAGGCATCTTCTGCTCCACCTGCTTCGGCCTCCTAAACAACACCTGCTCAGTGTGTGCGTCCCCGCTTTCCTACCAGGGGCAGCTGGACATAGAGCTGTGAGTCTCCAGCATGATGGGGTGGAGTTTGGGGTGTACTGGGAGCAGCCATCCCCTAGTCTCCGGGGCCCCTGTGGGCCACTGACATGGGAGGCACCTCCAGGGACTCCAGTGACGAAGATGGTCCTCGGCTGTGGCTGGCTGCAGCTCGAAAGAAAGACCCCAAGCAGGAGCGGCTACTGCGACGGCAACTCCAGGAGGCACTGGGCAGGAAGCTCAGGAGCTTCTCCTCAGAGTCCAGCTCCGAGCTCAGGTGAGCTGGAGGAGGAGAAGTTGGGCCTAGGCCTGCTCTGTCATAAAGGGCTTCTTGAGAGCCTGCCTGCTCCCTGCAACCGCCCCAACTCCCCCAAACCCCTACCCTCCTTCCATCTCCTCCCCCCGCCCCCCCCGCCCCCCCACACTGGGTACAGAGAGGATGGGAGGGAAAGGTGGGTGCTTGCTCCATCCCAGCACCCTTGACTGCAGGAGCCCACTGAACGGTGGGGCAGAGCAATAACAAATAGAAAAGCTACACAGAGTGGAGAACACTCAGCTCAAGGAGGGAAGCAGACTGTGGGCAGCACAGGGAACAGGACCACCAACTTGGGACAGGCTGTATTAGTGAAGGCTTCATTGAGGAGGCCAACAGCGGTGGGGTTGGGGGCAACCTGATAATTTGCTAGACTGAGGAGAGGAGGAAAGCATTCCAGGGGGAGGCGGGAGAATGCGAGACATCCAGGAGAGGGGAGCCTGAGGGAGGGGTGGGTGTCTGGGCAGAGACCTCGGAGAATGTGGGAGATAAGGCTGGAAGGCAAAGGTGGGGAGGGCCTTGCTTGCCATCTGAAGACCAAAGGTTGGAAAGTGACTTGTCCCTATTTGTCTTTTTAGCAATAAACTAAGAAAGCAGAGCAGAGCCAGGCAGGGGCAGGAGACCAGAGGAGGCCCCCTTAGTTCAGAAGGAGCTGTGATGGCCACAGCAGGGAGGTTTGCAAAGGACTGGAAGTTCTGAGCTTGCCATTGGGCCGCGTCAGGTTGAGAGCAGGGAAAGGTTCTGGGGGAAGAGGAAGGGCTTATTTGGAGGCCTCTGAAGGCTCGGGGCTTCAGCTGGAGATGTGCAGGGGACTTGCAGGGGACTCCCTGAAAGGGGCAGGGATCCGGTGGGAGGTGTAATGGGGGTGTTTTCTTAGACAAGGTAAGAGGGAGAATAAGCCAGGTCATTCCAGTGCAGGGCATGACAGGAAGGAAGGGGGTAGAGACTGAGTCTCCTCTACCAGCCAGCTGAGGGGCTTCGTCACAAACCGAGGAGGGGTGAGGCTGGAGAATGTAGGTGGTCCAGTGTATCAGTGGCACAAGGTGGGAGGGAGGGCGAAGAGTGGAGAGTGGCCACTGGAGCATGGAGCCCCAGAGGCCAGCAGAGTGGCGTGCGGGTGACTTTGCAGGCCTTAGTTGATGGGTTGAGGCTGGCTGGTAGAGGAGACTCAGAAACAGAAATGGGGTAGGCGGCTCCACATCACTGTCGCAAGAAATTCAACAATTCCTTTTTTAAATATAACTGCTGTCGTTTAAAAAAGGAAGTTTTCTGGCGAAGAGGAGGGAGTTAGCTTCACACCCCAAGGAAGCAGCTTGAGGGGACCCAGCACTAAAGTATTAGCCTTTATCCAAGTGAGGGAGAGTTGGGCATGCAGGTGAGAGAGCATTGGCGAGAGAGGGATGAGGTGAGAGGGGTCCAGGGGCAGTGGACAGGGTGACCTTGGAGAGGAGCGGGCTTGCTCAAGGCAGGAGGGGAGAGGGCATACTCCTCTGAGCAGAATTGAGCTTGCTCCAGGCTGGTGGCCTGGCTATTCTCGGGGGAGTAGGAGGCCAAGGTGCCTACTGAGAGCAAAGGAGGGGTTGGGAGTGGAATAAAGGTTTCAGGGAGTGGGTGGTAGAGGTTGAAATACCTGCCTTGGGGATTGTGCAGAGAAGCTGACTGGGGAGGTGAAGGGATTTCCAAGTGGCACCGAAGGCCCAGAGGATGTTGAAAACAGTGCTGCATAAGGGGGCTGGGCTATGTAGCTCTGTCAAATGAATTATCATGAAGAGGATTTGAGGGTCGAGGGCTTTCTCTGGGCAGGTGGGAGTGGGACAAGCTGGGAGAGAATTAGGGTGTCTTTAGTAAGTGTCCAAGATGACTGACCTTGGGAAAGTAAAGTAAGTCACCTGAGACCCTCTCTTGGAGTGGTGGGGCGGCCCAGGGCCTAGCTCTATGAGGTGTCTGAGCGGAGGGCCAGGAGGGACACAGGGGATGGGGCCTGGCCAGGGAAGAATTCTGGGGCAAATCCAGTGAGTGGCCATGGTTGAGGCAAGCCTTGTGAGTAGAGGTAAAGGAGGTCACGACTGAAGGGCCTGGGAGTGGAATGAATTCTCCAGTGAGAAAGCTGGGCTACATGGCTGTCAAAGGCTGGCACCAGCCTTAGCAAGTGAGTGCCGCTGGGTGTCTGGCAGGCCGAGGCAGCTGCGGCCAGCATGGTGCAGCTCCTGTGGTGGCCAGGGGCTCTGCACAGCCCATGCGCCCCGAGACGCTAGCTGCCTCCACTTGGGAAGGCTGCAGCGTGCACTGCCCAGAGAATGGGACAGCGGGAGTAAGGAGTGAAGAGTCTGAAAGGGAAGCAAAGCTTTATTTTTAGAGGTGTCGAGGGCGCAGGGGACTTAAAAGCTGGGTTGCCAAAGTGGTGTCTTAAACCTGGAGCAAATTTTATCACCAAGGTCACTACATTCTACCCTTTGTAGTGACCAAGCCCGCGACCTTGGGCAAGTCATTGCCCACTGGTGTCTCAGCATCAGGCTGAAAAATCATTAGGTATCCCCCTCCCTGGGCTCTGAGAGTAGCCACAGCTGGTGACTAAGAGGAGCCACATTGCACAGCTGGGGTGGGGGCAGGGCTGCACCTGTGAAAACCATGCTGTGGTCAGACCACCCCCTTCCTCTCCCCACCAGTGACCAGGATGAGAATTGGCCCAAGAAGAGGAAGCACAAGCTGCTGCCCCCATACAAGACCCAGTCTGTTCACATTCCCATGCCTCCTCAGAACCCCTGACACCTCAGTAGTCCTCTGCCCCCCAAGCAGCTCCTCCCCAGCTTCAGGACCCCCAGGCCTGGAGTCCCATCTCCCTCTCCTGATATCGCCCACCAGCTCCACAATAAAGGAACCAACGGTAGACACAAGTGTGAATCTTAAATTATTATTATTTCTTCCTGTCGCTTACACCGAGGTGGGGGGCAGGGGAGGGGGAAGAGGAGAGGGGGGATTGCCTCCCCCCCTAAGGCACTGAGTGGAGAAGCCGCAGGGGGGATGGGGGAGGCCACACTGTCCTCACTCCCTGGAGCTAGGCCCCAGGTCTCCCCAGCCTTGGGCTCCCCCATCACCTGAAATGCTAAGATGAGGCCCAGGGCAATCGACACCCCCCTACCCCAATATATTACATCATCACTTTTTTAAATAGATACAGGGACTGGTCCCGCTACCCCTCCCTGTGACCCCCCCCCACTATTGGGGGTACCTGGGCAGCTGTGCAAATGGGCATGGGGCGCATGGGAGGGAGAGCACCGGGCCCCTGAACCTGCCCCTGTTAAGGAGGGGTAGGGGCCGCCAGGCCAGGAGGGAAATAGTGCAAGGCAGAGCCCAGGCCGCAAGGGGGTCCAGCACCCAGCGAGGAGGGGAAGGGGCATATAGCCCCACCCCTAGCAGAGTCGGGTAGTTAAAAATCTGAAACTAGATTTCGACAAGACTGACAGAGGAGGCTATGTACAGAAGGGAGGGGGGGGTTCAGTCCTAAGGAAGAGTGAGGGGATTGCACTCCCCGCCCCAACAGGAAGCCCAGCTGGCAAGGGGCTGGGGAAGGGATTCCTTTCCAAGTTTCCCTGCGGCCAAGCAAGAAGTTATTTGCCCACTGCCTTGGCAAGGGGACGCGGCGCCCCAGCTGGGGCGGCTGGGGCGAGTGAAGAGCCGCGCTGGCAGCGGCCGCCAGGGGCGCGCCCCACACGGGCACGGCCGCCAGGTGGCGCCGGCCGGCCCGCTCTCGGCAAGGCTCCCCCAACCCCTCACCCGGTCCCACACCCAGGCCAGCGCCAGCCTGGGGGCGGCGTGAGTCAGGGGCAGCGGCGGTGGCGCGGCTCCGGCTCGCACCTGGGCGGGGAGGAGGTGGGGAGGAGAAGAGGGCAGGACGCCGGCCCGCCCTGCCCTCTGGCCCCGGGGAGGGAGCGGCGGGAACAAGACATTCCCTGCCCGGGGACTCGGGATGGGAGGGGAGGAGAGAGCCGAGCTGCTCCCCTGGCTGGGCGTGGTCCTCTCGCTGCCCCCAGGGGCGGGCGAGCCAATCAGGCCACCCCGCCCCTTCTCCAGGACCCCATGACTCAGCGCCGGGAGCGGGGCGGAGGGGGACTGGGATGGCTCCTTCCTTACAGGCCCAGTCCCCCAGTCTTTCAAGCTTTACCTTGCCTGCCCTCACCTACCCTCCCTAGGCCGCCCCCCGCCTTTGCATAATTCACTGCCAGGAAAAGGGAACAGAAACCAGGAAGGAGGGGTCTCGGAAGGGAGGGGCAGTCCTCCACCCCCCCAAAACCCCAAGGGGCGTGGGGGCGGGGCAAGGCTTTGGTCCCAACCCCCCCACAGCCCCTTGAAACCCGCATAGCCGAAAAGGGACCCTACAAATCAGAAATACATTATTGCTTCTACTCCCCAGGAGCAGCTGAAGACAAGGACCCCACCTTTACAAATAGAGCTGTAAATATATACATAATATCATATGTATCACTCCTTGGGAGATCACCCCAATCTGGGGAGCGGCTGCCCCAAAACCTTCTCAGCTTGGAACTGGAATGAGGGCTCTGGGGGGGGCGTGGGGGGGTGGGCGGGCAGGGGCTGCCTGGGGGCCATCAAGCCTCAGTGGGCCTGACCCAGCTCAGTCCCGTGAGCTCCCACTGCTTGGCATGGGTGTCTCTGGCCTTGCTGCTCCAGCCCGTCCCTCTTTAAGAGGACTCCATGGCACCTTCAGCCTGAGGCGTAGTGGGTGCCCCCTCTTCCTCATCGTCATCAGGGGGCCCCGGGGTGGAGACCGGAGGCCCCGCTGGAGCTGACTGCTCCCAGAATCGAGCCAGAGACAGACGGAAGGTGTCCAAGTGGCCATTGGAGAGGTCGAGGCCAGCGGGGGATGGGGCTGTGGCCGAGGGTGGTGGGTAGTGGGGTGGAGCATCGTCCTTGCGGCGCCGGCGAGTGCGCACCTCCAGGCAGTTCTGGCCCTTGAGGTGGCGCTGCAGATGGTCCTCCTTGGCGAAAGCCTTGTGGCACAGGTGGCACTCATAGGGCCGGTCCCCCGTGTGCAGGTGCATGTGGTTCTTGAGGTCATAGCTGTGCAGGAAGCGGGCTGGGCAGTGCGGGCACGAGTAGGGGCGCTCTCCTGTATGCTTCCGCATGTGGATCTTCAGCTTGTCATTCCTAGCACAGGCAGGGATGAGAGGAGCAAGGGAGATGCTCAGGACGGGTTCGAGGTAGCTAACCCTGGCCTGGTTCCCGGATCGTGTCCTAGTCCTGTCCCTCGCCAGGCCTCCCCATTCTGTCCCAGGACTCCCTTGCTGACTTGTTCCCAGCTTAGCTGGGTTCAGCTGCCCCCCTCCTCCCTCCCGGTCCCAACTTTCTCCTGGCCTCTCCCCTCACTGCAGACCACCGCTTCCTCCAGGATCACCCACTCCCACAGCTCCTTTCTCCCTCCCCCGGCATGGCCCTGCTGAGCCCCTGCCCCACTGGTGCTCACCGGGTAAAACGGACGCCACAGACCTCACAGGCGAAAGGCTTCTCGCCCGTGTGGGTCCTCATATGACGTGGCAGTTTGCCAGCCCCGTGGATGATCTTGTGGCAGACGGGACACTCCTGGGGCATCTGGGAACGGCGTTTGCGCACCAGCTTGTCCTGGCCATCCAGGCCTGGGGCCAAGGCGTCCTGGTGCAGGGAACTCAGGTAGGCCATCAGGTCGGGATCGATGGCATCCTCATCTGAGCCCAGCTCCTCTGGCGACAGTGGGGGCCCGCCGCCTTGCACCAGCCCATAGGCACCAGGGTAGACCAGCTCTTCCTCCTCTTCCTCACCCTCATAGGGTTCGTAGCTCAGGGGCCCCTCAGAGGGTGAGGCAGTCCCAGGGGGAGGGCTGTAGCTGTCCCCCAGCCCACTGCCCCCACTGCTACCTACTCTGCCTGCCGCCACCTCCTCCTCTTCATAGGTTGAGGGATGGGTGGGCGCTGTGGGCGCCTCGGGTACTAAGTGGTTTGCCCGGGCCCCCTTGGTCTGCAGGAAAACTTTTCGGGGCTTGCGGCTTCGCCTAGCGACAGGTCGAGGTGGTGGCGGCGGCGGAGGTGGGAGGGGTGCCTGTGGAGGGCTCTCTTCTCCGTTGGGAACTCCTGAGGCTGTGGCTGTGGCGAAGGCCTCCAGGTACTGGCGGGCTCGCTCACAGTCGTCTTCGTCGGGGCTGGGGGCTTCCAGCCCGCTGCCCTGCAGGATCTCCATGCAGGCGGCGATGACGCATGGGATCTCCAGCAGCCGGGCGGCCTGCAGCACCGCTGGCATGTTGGCGCTGCTGGTGGTCAGTGTGGCCGTGTAGGCAAACTCGAGCAGGGCTCCCAGCGCCTCGGGCCCCACAAAGTCCAACTCGCATACGCCAGCCCCTGCTCCCCCAGGGGCTGTGCTGTTGCCCCCCGCCCCCATGACTGACCCACCGCCACCCTCGGTGAAGAGTTTCTTGAAGTAGTGGCTGCAGGCGGCCAGCACAGCCCGGTGGGTGCGGTACTCCAGGCCCTGCGTCCGGATGGTGAGGTCGCACAGGTGGCCCAGCTGGCGCTGCTCATTGAGGCAGCTCAGGAGCTCGCTGCTGTGGTCTGGGAATGGGATCCCAATCAGGTCGTCCTCAGGGCTCCCCATCTTCTCCTGCAGAGTCAAGGATAGGGTGGGTCAAAGGAGCTCAGCCTTAAGGGTGCTAGGGGAGGAGAACCACGTTGGCCAACCCTTACTGACAGGTGACTCCATGCTAGATGTTCTTCAAAGCACTCTACATCCAGCGAACCTTCCAGGCCTCTCTTAAGTAACGATGCTCATCCATTTTAGACAAGGAAACCGAGGCGCAGGAGGTGAGGAGGCTTTCCAATTTAAGTACCGAATGGGGTTCAAACCTAGGCAGTGGGCACAGGACAAGTTCCTGACCACAGTGTGCTGTTCTGCCTCGATGAGAGCAGGAGCCCTGACTTTCTGGATCTTTCCTGGAGACCCCTCTGTGCCACTGGCCCACTTCCCTATGCCTCTGGAAGAAGCACTGGACTGAAAAAGAGGATGCCTGCTTCCTAGTTCAGGCTTTCTGAGGAATTGGCTGAAGGACTTGGGGCGCCTCTGGTAGCTGGCTTCAGCCATCTACGAAGTGGGCTAACAGTCTGCCATGGACTCTCCTCACAGCCCAAGAAAGGTCAAAGGAAGAGCTGAGGTTCACACTGGAGCAAGGATGCTCCAGGCCAGGCATAGTCAGGTGCTTTAACTCAAGTTACCTCCCTAAAGCATTTGGTGCATAATACACATTGCAAACAAAACAAGCCAGCCTTCCACCACTGTCCTCCTCCTCCCGCCCCTCCCCCAGCACTAAAAGTTCATCTCCCCTTCTAGATCTCCCTTCTAGAAAGGGAAACACAGCTCCCAGCATCCCTCCCCCCACATCCTCCCCTCCCCCATGGGGGCCAAGGAGCAGCCACCCTTTGCTGGGGTGTCGCTGGCGCCGGTGCTTCCTGCCCCAAAAGATAAGCATCGCCCCCACCCCCTCCCCCACTGCCAATAGACCAAGTTCCAGTCCCACCGTTCCCCCCCCACCGTGTGTGTGTGTCTCTCTCTGTCTCCATTCCTGCCCAATCTGGCCAGCTCCCCCTTTCTCCGAGAGCCACTTTCCACCTTCCACCTCTGGTGCTTTTCCCCCAAGGCTTAGTCACAGAAGGGACAGAGCTGCTGCCAGCAATTCCTAGGCTGGTGGAGATAGGGGAGGGGTAGTGAGTGTCTGGCCTGGAAGTGGGGAGGCCAGCTTGCAGGTCCAGGCTGAGCTGCTATCTTGCTGAATGACCTTGGACAAGTCATTTCTCCCTGTGCTTTAATTTCCTCAGCTATTTGGGGAGGGGGTGGGAGTGGAAGCCCCAAGGGCTCAGCCACCCTTTAGCCCTGACATTTGTTGGGTCTGCAGCAGAGTTGGGGCCAAAAAGAGCTTGGCCTATGGAGTGAGCCAGACTTGAGCTGGAACCTTCTCAGAGGGTGATTAGCACTGTGAACTTAAGGAAATGATTTCATCTTTGCACTTTTCCTTACCTATAGTATGGGATAATTCCACCTGACTCCCAGAGTTGTGGTAAATGAGCCCCAGTGTGGTATAAGGCCTGACACGTAGTAGGTGTTCAAATCAACCTGTCCTGGGAGCACATTCACTATTCAGCCACTTCTGCTGAGAAAACTAGGGATAAGTTTGCCTCCGGTCCTCAGGTCACCCCACTGGAGTTATATGACCTTGGACAAGTCACTTCCTTTCCTGAGGAGGCCTGTTTCCTCATCTGTGATATGAAAGGCTGACCCAGATGATCCTTAGGGCCAAGTCCTACTGACACTCTGTCTCCTCTGCCACTCCCAAAAGCTGCCCAGCCCTGGCCCATCGACAGGGAAAGGGGCTTGTGGGGAAGGGGGTTGGGGAGGTATGGTAAAGGGCCAGATTTCCTCCTTAGGACACACCAAATGCATGTCGCTGTCTCCCTGCCTGTCATCTTAATAGCAAGGCCAGGACTCCCGTGCAGAAACCTAGAGTGAGCAGCCGGCAGCTCCCACCCCTCCCCACGGCCTCCACTTTGCTTGTAGGCCTAGCCCAGGCACCCTAGGTAGCCCAACCGTTCCCACCTTATGTCCCCAAACCACTTCTTTTCCTGGGGGCCAAGCAGTCTGGGAGCTCTCCCAGTTCCTTTTGGTTCTTCAGCCTGTACTTTACAAACAGTGCAAGTGGCAAATGGCCCCAGGACTTAGGAACAAACAAAAAACCGGTGGGCAGCAGCAGCACTGGCTACTTAAGCAGCAGTGGGCACCTTCCTGGGCCCAAGGCGATCCTGCCCCTCCAGAGGGGGATGGGTGGGGCTGTCCTCACTGTCCATTGGCCCGGAGCTGGCACCCGCAGGCACGTGGCTCACCCCATCCCTCTCCCTCAGTCCCTCCCCACCCCACCCATTCCCGCTGCTAAGCCCGCCTCCTTTCTCCCACCCCAGGGCCAGTCTCCGTGGCAACTTGGTGTGGCGGGGGCGCTGATTGGCTGACCCTACTGTCAGGTCACAGGCTCAGGCTGGTTCACCACGCAACTCACACTGGGCTAGCCTGCTCAATGGTGGGTGTTTAACCCCTTAGGCTTACCTCCAATGCCCACAGCCACGAGGTAGCAAGGAAGGAGGGGAGAGGCAGAGAACACACGTGGGAAGGGGAGGGTGTTCATTGGGCTCTCTAGCTTCTGGGAAACTCCCCCAGCCCTTATCCAGGGTTCTGGCACCCATGCCAACTGAGGTGCCACCTGGACGATGCTGGTGCCAAACAGGCCAAGGGGGCACTCCTAGCCCCATCATCTAGGAGGAGCAGTTGAGGTGGAGGCCTCCTTCTGCCAGGGTGGGGCACTGGTGCCAGGATGCCCACCCCGCCTTGGGCACCCTTCCCACCGTTGCATCCTGGAGGGCCCAGCCCCCCAACGCCCCATGAGGGCGGCCCATCCCCACCCAACCTGGCATGCCCCCTCTTGCTAAGACCTTGTGGGCATGGGCGTGTGTGGTGGTTGGAGGGGGGGGCAGCTATGCCAGGGAACCAGGCGAGGTCTGTTTGGTCTGTTTGCCTGGTAGGGGGAAGAACTGGGGGCCCCGCCCCACTTCTCCCCCCTTTCCCGCCACCCCCCCAGGGCTCCCCTCACTGTCAGGCCTGCTAGACCGGCCAAGCCGGTGGGCAGCTCTCTTGAAACTGGGCCCTGAGTCAAGCCTGCACCATCTTTGGTGGGGGAAGACCTTGGGGTGAGAAACATGGGAGGGGGCAGGCAGGAGCCCCTATCACCTACCCCTCAGTGCTCAAGGGCACTTGCTAGGGTGTGTCCACCACCAAGAACCAAAAGGTAAAGGGCACTGGCCCAGGTTTGGAAAAAAAAGAAGGAAGCTGGAATCCTTTCTGGTTAACCTCAGGCAGTGTCCAGTGCAGGGATGGGGGCACCAGGGCCAACACTGCTGGCTAGAGCCAGCAGAAGAGCAGAGAGACTGGCCCTGGATAGGCAGCTCAGTAAAGGTTGCCCCCCCCCTTCCCCACACCCTGGGGATTAGGGGAGTGAGGCTTAGTGTGGGGGGCAGCAGGCGGAACCAGGATTAGCGGCAGAGAAAATAGATATGGGCCTGAGACACAGGCACACAGAACCCCCTCTCTGTGCTCTAAGGCCCCCACCTCCAAACTCTTTCAGGAGGCCTGAGAGAGGCCTGACTGGGCTTTTCGAGGACGTTCGGCAGCTTGGAGTGAGGGAGAATTGAGGACAAGGCTGTGACATCCTCCTGCCAGGGGTGATGGAGACCTGAGGCTCTTCCTGCTGCCCCGTACCTGGGCCGGCCACCCCTCCCCCTAACTTCTTTCTCTTTTCTACCCCCCACCCCAACTCCAGCCTCAGGTTCTCTTCCTGTTTTTTTGGAGCTAAGTTTGCACGAAGCCAGGGTTTTGGCCTGTGGCTGGACCAGGGGGGGTGGGGAAATAGGACAGCTAGTCCAAAGTCCTCAGGGACCCAAGAATCCTGATTCCCCAGCTTTCCCCACCCCTTCCCAGGGCCTCTGGGGCCCAGGGGCTGAAGCTATTTGGATTGCCCAGTTGGGAAGGCAGGATGACAGGGCTGAGGTGAATCTCCTGGAGGGTTGGCACAGCTCTGGAGAGGCCTTCTGCCCAGGGATGCCCGAGGCGTTCAGGGAGCCTTCTCTCCCCACCCCAGCCCCTCCAAGCAAATACACGTCTTCCCCATCCCCCATATGACGCTTCCCCCCTCCTAACCTCACCACCCCCAGCACTCACACTTCCTGGGGGCCAAGGCGGGGAAGAGAGACCGCAAGCCACGAAGGGGGAAGGAGGCAAGGGGAGTTGGCTGCTTCCCGGTGGTGCTGTCGGGGTTAAGCCTCTCCTCCCTGAAAATCCCCAATTCCTGGTGCTGACTGTAAGATGAGGGAGACCTCCAGGTTCCCCACATTTTCTTTGCACAACACCATCCCTAGCACACAGTCCCTCCGGGGAAACAGGAGGGAGATAAAAGATGGCGGAGGAAGGAATGGGGGCAACTCTATCCTCCCCCAGTCTCCTCTCCCCACCTTTGGAGACCCTCTGCCCTGGTCACTCTCGGCCCTTAGCCCCTTGGCTTCACCTCCTCTTTCCCAGCCCACTTCGCACACTGCCTTCTCTGCCTCGGTCTTGCCTCTCCCTGCTTCACCTTTTGCTTCCTTTCCCTCAGCGTGTCAGGCTCCTGGCCTCCTCTCTCTCCCCTCTGGCACATCTGTGCCTCCTCTCTACCACATCTGTGTCCATCGGCCTCCTGGCAACCTTCTCTACTGCTCTTTTCTTTCTTTTCCCTTTCCGTTCTCTCCCGGCCAGCCTCTCCCACTTCCTCCATTTCCCCTTGCTCCAAGCACCCCTTCTTCTTTCCCCAGGCAGAAGCGGTATGGAGAGAGGCAGAAGAATTAAATCCCGGAGCCAGGCCCACACTCCCAGACCTGGTCTTGCCAGGGATGACAGCATTTAGGGCACCCATGCCCCACTTCTGGATGAAGAACAGGATGAAAATTTGGGGACCAGCTGGAGAGGATAGGTGGGTGGGTGGGTGCAGCAACAGCGGATGTGGGGTGGGGTGAGGGACAGCCTAGGCCTCTGCCCGT